AACCCCAGCCCCTGAAATGCTGACGCGTGGACGATTATTGGTCCTGATTGGTGCTACCAACCGGGACCAAAGTTCCTCCTGTCTGGGCTCGCCGCAACAGCCACGTGGAGGCCCATCTGTCCCGGTTCGTATAAGAACCGGAACTAAAGGCCTAGGGCTTTAGTAACGATCCTTTAGTCCCGAATCCACAACCGGGAAAGATGGGCCTTACGATCCGGGACAAATGGTCCTTTCTCTACTAATGGTTTGATGGTATCTGGGCCAAAGGATTAGTGCCCGATGTGGTTACATATAGCTTAACGATAGATGAACTTACAGAAGAAGGTTCTCTACAAGAGTTTGATGATCTGCTCCTTTCTATGGAGAAGAATGGGTGTGCTGCCAACTCCCGTATGCTAAATACTATAGTTAGAAGGTTACTTCAGAAAGGGGAGATGCCCAGGGCTGGGACTTATCTGTTTAAAATTGATGAGAGAAGCTTCCACACCTAGCTTGTTGACTGCTAGTCCTTCATGGGGGAGAGCCCATCTTTCCAGAAAAGAGTGGTATTTTTCAGGGAGTAACCCATTATATTCCACCTTGGACATCATCCATCTTTCCACCTTGGCAGGCTTCAATGGACCCACGCTGTCAATTCATTGCTTCAGCTTCCTCATCACCTCTCGGTAGGTTGATAGTCTAGTGGTATTCCTATTACAGTCGTTGTACAGAAATGCACACCCCGGGCTGGTTTGTAACTGTACATAATAGAATGTTAATTAGGCTGGATTCTTGAGTGGTAGAATCAAAAGAAGTTTAGGCAGCTCGACCACGGCACGGGAATTAGCAAATGGTTTTGATAGTTGTTATTAGTACTTGTATGCGCCAAGCACCAGCTGACCATGACCATCTGAGGCCTGAACTGACGCCGCTCAGATCCGCGCAGCCCAATAACACGATCAAGGCCATGGATCAGCCCCCTTTCAGATCCGCGGTCCGACTGCCTGTGCGGACGATGGAGCCTCAAGTCTAAGCATCAGGCCGAGATCTCCACCCCATCGCTGACAGACAGGCATGAGGGCAAGGGAAGAAAGTTGCATGACCGGACGTGGCCTCTCAAGCCCCATAGAATAGAGCAGCGTCGGTGCGCGATGAAGCACTGGGAGAAAGCGGCTTGGAGTGTGGATGGGAGGAGGAGGAGGAGAGGAAGGCCTCGTTGCAGCCACGGGCTGGCTGGCGCCCGCCGCCGACAGCGAGGAGGGGAAGAAACCTAGTGGCCGCCCCGAGCCATCCAGGAGAGACAACGCGAGGCGTTTTCCTGGTCCAAGATTGTCTATCTTTGCATACATGTGGTTAACTAGGGCTAGCTTTGGCAAATATGTCAAGATGAATGAAGGCGAATCAAGCAATAGGTACGCGCAGAAGTTAGGTGAGTGAAAATGAAGGCGAATCAAGCAATAAGTAGTATGTGAAAATGAAGGAAGGCGAATCAAGCTGTATAGGTACGTGCAGAAGGTAGGTGAGTGAAGGATGAGATTTCCAATGGCTGCAAACCGTACTGCATCTTTCATGCACCCGCGGCCAGCTTTGATCGTTCACATCACTACATGGCCATTATAAATTTACACTAGTCCTTGATGCTAGCTTTCACCTTTCTTGGCAGCTATACTCTAGAGATTGTGGTTGCCACTTCAATACATGATTAAATTTCTCCATGGATAACTAGATGCTAGCTTGCATCTATGTATGTGTGCGCGTCGTTGATACATAGTTAGGTGGTGGGATTGTGAGGCAGCAGAAATCTGATTGAGCACTAAAATAAAGGTATTTGCACTATGATACAGCGACAGCGAAAAAGGACTAGTGCTTGCAGTGTTGCGGAGGAGCTAGATGTGTCATCCCAATAGTGAGAACAGGGTTAACGAGGGTATCGGGCTAGGGAGAGATGGTGGGTCCGTGTGGTGGGTGTGTGAACCGCTGCGGCTTTAGCAAGGAGCATGTGGTTACCGAAAAAGGCTTTCGCCCCGCTTTATAAATAAGGCAAAGATCAACATCATGTGGTTACAAGGGACCATCTAGCTTTTTTCCGTTTGGATGAGCGCATGTGGTTACATCTTTAGTGAGGAGACAGC